AAGAGCTCTTTCTTAAAGCCCCAAAGCCAGCGTTGCTCAAGATGGCAGTGGCAGAACAAGTCCCATGTGAAATGACAAAAGGGGATCAGATGTTCACCTTGAACACATAACAGAAACTTGGGATAAACAGGGCAAGAAAATCCAGAAAGAGGGGGAGGGAGTTTGCCACCTGATCATCAAACTCATCCCCTCTTCTCCCTCGGCACACAGCCACACTGCATTACTCAGCCTCTCTTGCAACTAACTTCTAACCAGAGAATATAAGAGGAAGTGATGTACGCCACCTTCCAGACTGAGCCATAAAACCTCCCAGGTGAGCTCCTCCAGGCTCTTGTCCCCTTTCAGCTGGCTGGCTAGGAAACGACCCCAGGAATGACCTTGGAAGCCACCAGTTAAATGTGGATGAATGACTTGTGGAAACTGAGGCCTCGGTGCTCTACCTTTTCCTGCTGAGCAGGACTATTCATAAAGGACTGTTAACCTCACACAAGAAATAAACTTTTATTGTTTTATACTGCTGAATTTTAGAGGTTTATTTGTTGCAATTGCTAGTATTAGAGCATTAATACAGCAGAGCTAGAGTTTTGGTGAATAGTCATACGAGTGAACTGACAAGTGGGTTAATAAATAACCCAAGTTTATAAATAAGGACACTGAGTGTCAGTGTTAGGTGTCTTGCCCCAAACACCCAGGAAGTAACTTGTGGAGCTAGCCTAGAACTCAGCTGTTCTGTGTCCAAGTTCATGTTCTTCTGGTGTCCTATCATGCAAAACGACAAGCGGATAAATTCCAACTTGGTTCCAAGCCTTGAAAAACTGATATTGACCAAGATATATCAGAAAAGACAAATCCTGTACAAACTAAATGGTACAGATTTTTTGTGTTGTTACTGATTGGCCCTTAAATGCACTGTTTTCAGCTTGATATTAGGCTTTATTTTAAGTCGGATTTACTAGAATTATTACGTGATTGATATCCGCATGATGTTTTAGTGCAAATTAACTTCCTATAGGTTGATCTGAAATATTGTTACCATTTCCCTTCTTTTTAGCATACAATTTATCTTTCTAATGAATCCATAATAGTATTTGGCATTAGCTTTTTACAGCATCAAAACTAAGGAATCATGCTTTTCTTCTTTCCTTTAAATAACTTTTTCTAATAAAAAATTAATATGTTTTCATTATAGAAAAGTGATTTTAAAATTACCCACTGAGCTAGTTTCTCACTGTTGGAGAGCAAGGTTACAGGTGAGCAAGGGGAAGAGGCTACAGCAATCCATGTGGCAAAAGATTAGAGTTGGAGACATAAGTATAAACTCATATTTCTCTTAATATAGATACAGAGAGTTATATAAAGAACTATTTCTAGATATGCATATACACAGATTAGTATATACCCACGTAGTCCCTTGCTGTCAGCCGAGAGGGTTTATAAGCAGTAACATCACAACAGCAGGCAGCACACAGAGCACCCAGATCTTTGTTTCTAATACCTTTCTCCAATAAAACAAAGGGCTCCTTGGAGAAATGGCTGATTCTAGGACTGGGGCAGGAAAGATACAAGATGAGCCTGGAATATATTATAGTGCAAGAAACTAAGGAACACTTTTTTAAAAAGCACCCCCCAGTAATGGAATATATCAAAGGGTTAAATGGAACAAGCTCCCGATGGCCAAAGCTGGAACAATTTGAGCAACAAAGTAAACAAAGTAGTATCAAATTATAACCCAAAATATAAAAGAAATACTTAGAAATATCTGTGATTCCATACTGATATAACGGGTTGAATAAATAGAATAGAATGCAATAGACAAATATCCCATGTAGATGAATTCCAATAACTTGTGTAGAATCTAATCTCCAGGAGGAAGGAGGTGGAGCATAACTCCCACTCCTTAGGTGTAGGCTGCACATAGTGACTTCCTTCCAAAGAAGACAGCATGGAAAGGCAGGTGGGAGAAGAGTAACTTCACAGTGGAGAAACCTGACAAACACTACTTCAGGCAAGTGATCAAGGTCAACATCAACAGTGATAAGTCATGTTGATAGAATGTAATGAAAACAGCACTTGACCAAGAAAACGTGTTCTTCCTTCCCAAAACTCCTAACCCCAATCTAATCATGAGAAAAAATCAGATAATTCCCAGTTGAGGGACATTCTCTAAAATACTTGACCAGGACTCCTCAAAACTGTCAAGGTCAACAAAAACAAGAAAAATCGGAGGAACTGTCACAGACAAGAGGACCCTAAGGAGACATGACAACTAAATGCAATGTGATATCCTGAATGGGATTCTGAAACAAAAAAAGGATATTAGGTAAAAACTAAGAAAATATGAATAAAATATGGACTTTGGTTAATAAAAAAAGTATCAATATTGGTTCATGAATTGTAGCAAATGTACCCTACTAATATAAGATATTAATAATAAGGGACTGGGTGTGGGCTATAAGGGCACTCCATGTACTATCTTTACAACTTTTCTATAACCTAAACCTGTTCTAAAATTAAGAAGTTATTTTTTAATCTCATCTAACAATAAACAAAAACATTTTAATACAAATTTCATCTTTTTTTCTATCAAGAAATTTTTTATTGTTCAGTGTTTTCATACTGTACATACTTTTTCCCTTAACATTTAGTAGATGTATTTTCATGTCATTATAATTCTACAACATGATTTGTATTTACGTCAGGTCATCTTAGGGATGTATCATACATTATTTAGTCAATTATCTATTGGTATATTTATTCCTCCCTAGTTTCATTGAATTTACTGGGGAAGGAGGTATGGGAAATGAAGAGAATAAGAAGAGAGGAAACAATTCTGACATATCTGTTCATTGTGAGAAAGAGAGGGACGGGCCTGGTCCAATACTGCCAGGGAAAATGCAATGGGCCGAGAAACAACAGACCCAGACACTGGTCTCAACTTCACAAATAACTCTGAGTATGGCCTTAATCTTTCAAGTTCCCAGTGTCCTTATCTATAAAATGGAGTAGATAATTTACTCAAATGTCCATTCCTAAAATCAATTATTCTAAATTTTCAAAAAGACTGTTTTTTAGAAAATTTCACATAGAAGATATGACCAAATATACTTAATATATAAAGAGGGTACAGAATATGGATGATAGATACATTTCCTTTTTACCTAGAGCCAAAAATAATTTCATGTCACATGGCACTAACAGAATCCATTATACAAAATGACATGAAGATCTGACAGTTAAATGAGAAGGGGGTTCTTTCCACTGAAGAAGAGGGAGGACTAGTCCATGAATGTTGCAAGAAAATCGATTGAGTTCAGCTGAACACAAGGACAGGCCGTCTAACAGTAGAATGGGCTTCCTGGAAAAATGCGTAGTTCTCAGATGTGGAGAATTTTGCAGCATGGGCTGGATGGAGAACCACCAGGCACATTATAGAAGCTATTCCTGCCCTCGGTAGGTAGCAATTCAAACTGAATGGTCACCAAGATCACTTTCAATTTTAAAAGGCTAGAATTTTTCTTCAATCATATATGACATCACCTTTAGACTATTGCCCTTAAGCATCGCCTCGGTTTCTGAGCTCTCTGCTCTCTCATTGGTTTCTTTACTGAAGAATCAATTCCACTAGCAAAACTAAAAGGCATCTATTAAGAGCATGAGTCCTTTGGCCTGTTTGTACGCATAGATGGGTACATCTCTAAGCACCTAATGAAGAACGGGGCCTTTCACTGGGATTAAGAAAGTGTGAACACATCATCTCTTGAAACTCAAATCTTCTCTATGAAGTCAAGGCAAAAAGAAGAGAAACTTTGGAAAGCAGATCTCCAGTTCACAATCAAATTTTAGCATCTGTCCTCAAGATTTCTTCATATTCTTTCTAGAACATGAACTTGTGAAAGCCCCAAGAGGCAAAAAAGAAAACACCACACACATTAATATTAAAGTTTTTGAAGCTGATCTGATCTGCAGGTGACAGTTCCTTACCTTCACACTTTTGGGTACTGAGGGAGGAATTGTACTTGGTGGGGGTTTTCTTTCTTATATGGTGAAGGCGACTCAGTGTTTTACACAGCCAGTGACTCCAACGTGTTTCCCCTACCCATCTAGCCCTCTTTATTCAGGCAAAAACTATGTGATGAGTGTCCCAAAATGTTTGTTTCTATAATTCCACTCATAGGAGAAAATTAGATAGCCTCTCAGTCGGTGTCATCTCAGAACAAATCAGGTAGCTAGACACAGCCCTCAGGGATGAGGAGTGGAAGGGGAAATGGGGGAATGGGACCGTAACCAGCTTTAAGAACTTTTTGTCCTGAACTTCAAAAGTACAGAAAGTGAATGTAATATTTTATGAGAAATCACATATTGCCTGTGGATCTTCACTTCCAGCCCGCCCCCCACCCCCGAAACGCACACACACACAAACAGGCAACCACCAAGCCACAGGCAACTTCTATTGGCAAATGCCTCCTCTCCAATCACCAGAGCAAGGAAGGGATCCCTGGAGCCTCATCGCACCGCCGGTGCGTTGTCTCCGACAGCCGTCGGCTGCAGCCCACTAGTCTGTGGAACGGCAGCGTGGAAGGCGTTACAAGGAAACCCCTCGCATGCTTTGTGGTACGTTAAAAATGCAGCATCATCCTCTCTGCTCCTTTTCTTCGGCCGAAAAGCAGAATTCGAGGGCACAGGGAAACTGGAGCGGCAAAAAAGCTGCCTGCCTCCAGGAGCCCGCGAGCTCCCTCCCTCCACGCCTCCCCACCCTTGGGCTCTAAGTGCCACAGCTCCAATGGGCCAGCAGCACCTTCACCCATTTCCTCTTCCATTCACTCCAGCGGGAAGGGAAGAGGGAAAACAAAACTCAAAAAATAACTGTCAGCCTCTCAAAAAAAGAAAAGCTTAGCGCCCCCCCCCCCCGGCTCCCGCCCTTCTCTTCTCCCTCCTCCCGCCACCCCCCTCCTTATGGGGCACATGTCTGCTTCTTACAACACCGAGGCACATGGTTCCAGTTAGGCACCGAACCCCACCAGGACGGAGAGGAAATCCACATCTGTGGGACGCTCCGCACGGAACCACCTCCAGCGAGGGAGGCCGGGGGACTGCAGCACCGAGATGAAGGGCTAGACCGAGGAACGCTGCTCATGCGGTGAGAGGGGCGCGGGCGGCGGCGGGGGCGCCGGGAGGCTGGGGAGGGGGTGGGCCCGCCGCGCCCCCGCAGCGCCCGCCCCCACGCGCGCTGTGGCTATTTGCCCGCCTTGCTGCAACTTGCTGCAGTGTTTGAAAGAGTAGTAGGAGCGCATGGAGGTGGGGCCGGGGAAAGACCAGGCGGAGTGGTCGGGGGTGAGCGCGGAGCGGGTGGGGAGGCGGCGGCGGCGGGGAGGGGGGCTGGCCCGGAGCGGGTGGGATGGGGGAGAGGGGGGTAGCCCGGCGCTTACACATGTCACATGTGCTTTTTAAGACGGCCGGGAGCGCCTGCGAGCTGGATCTGGTGGAGGATGCTGCGGCAGGTGCTTCGCAGAGGGCTCCAGTCGTTCTGCCACAGGCTGGGCTTGTGCGTGAGCCGGCACCCGGTCTTTTTCCTCACCGTGCCCGCAGTCCTGACCATCACCTTCGGCCTCAGCGCGCTCAACCGCTTCCAGCCCGAGGGCGACCTGGAGCGCCTGGTCGCTCCCAGCCACAGCCTGGCCAAGATCGAGCGCAGCCTGGCCGGCAGCCTTTTCCCCCTGGACCAGTCCAAAAGCCAGCTCTATTCGGACTTGCACACCCCTGGGAGGTATGGCAGGGTGATCCTCCTCTCCCCACCCGGGGACAATATTTTGCTCCAGGCTGAGGGGATCCTGCAGACCCACCGAGCCGTGCTGGAAATGAAGGTGAACCACAAGGGCTATAATTATACTTTTTCCCATCTGTGTGTGTTGAGAAATCAGGATAAGAAATGCGTGCTGGATGATATTATTTCAGTGCTAGAGGATCTCAGGCAGGCTGCCGTCTCCAATAAGACAACAGCCAGGGTGCAAGTGAGGTATCCCAACACTAAATTAAAGGTATGCTCCTCCTGCATGCTTCTGCCAATTAAAGAGGCAGCACTTCATTTCTTGCCCTAAACAAGCAAAGAAAATGCAGAGGTCTCATCCTTAAGACTCAGAAGCTGATGCTTCTTTCATTTTGGGGGGGAAAAGATGGGCAACTGAGTGAAGAAAACGGGCAATGAATGGTACAACTAGATATAAAGAAATTCAAAGCCAAACAAAACGAATACCAAAAATGAAAAAAACAAAACAAAAAAAAAGGAAAAAAAAAGTTGTTTCTGAGACCCTGCAATTACATCTTTGTTCAGGGTTAATAAATCAGTGAATGGAAGGGGGAGGGGGAATCCTGAACAATTTGGGGGATTTCTTTTCATTATGGGGCTCAATGTATTTCTTATTACTGATTACACATCCACCTGGTGCCATATCCGCCTATTTACATCTTCAGCCTGGCTTGATTGTGACATGTAGGGAGTTGGTGTTTTCGTGCCCTGTGAGTGTGTGTCTGAAAGCAGTGGGTATGAATGTAGTAGGGATTCCAGGAATTATATGTATGTGTGTTTGCATAGCAAATGAAGCAGAAATTTTCTATGTGTAAAAATTGGGATGTGCAGCTAACTGATGTACTAGTTTACTGAGTCTTGCTATCTTCCTTTCCCATAAAAAAAATCCAAACCAAAGCAAGATTATGATAACCACCCAATAGCAAAAGAAAAGAAAAAATTTCACAGTCAGTGAAAATTGCAAAGAATGATTATTTCAGCATTAAACATAGTGTGCTCTTTAAACTCTCAATTCAAATTTTGTTGCTCAAATGGGATTTCTAAACTCATTCTACACTGTCAGGATTGACTGCTGCAGGCAATGAGGCATGCAGTCTCCAGGTGACTGAAGTTTCAGGAATGAATGTGACTTCCAAAAGAGTCACTGCACCATTTGTATGCTCAACCTATACATGCTCAGAAGCTGCACCACCAGGAACTCCCAAGACAGGTAATTCCCAAGAAGAAGGAATTTTCTTTCTTCTAATGTGTATGAAGATGTGTGTGTGCTTCAGTGGAGATAATGGAATAGGAGGGACCCCAGTTTCAATAAATGGATGGCTTAATATAGGAAATCACTAATAATTCTATTTATTTATTTGCTATAGTCAGCATCTCTACACACTTTCTAACATTATCAGGATTTTTTAGATAAAAAGGCTCTTTTTCCTGAATTGAAGGAGGATTTAATGCACTTAGCAGCTAGGGGTTCCTCAGGAAAACTCATAACCTGCCTCCTTTTAACATTTCGTCCTTGTTTCAGTGCGTCCAAAGGCTGACAGGGTTTCAGCTTTACAGAGCTGAGCAGCCCTTCGAGGTTTAGTGAACCTAGACAGATGATTCATTAGCTTGAAATCTAGGTAAGGGCTTGCCTGCTTCACACTTACTGAAGGGAACGTGATGAATATATGTGGTTGGGCAGCATGCTTTTGTTTCTTCAATCCTTTGCCATCAACATTATTGCTTGCTCAAGAAAAGAATGCAGTGGAGAGGTGATCTTCCTAGTCTAAGGTCTTTTAACTGAGTTCTTTCCTGTGCCGAACATCTGGTGTAAAGAAAGATTTGAAACTGTGTCATATTTAAACTTCAATTTGTTTTCCGTATTGAGGCAAGTTTGCAGTTTATTAGCATGCATTATTAGTTGGATCCTTTATTTCCTTTATTCAGCAGTACTTTCCAGGTGTAAGAGCTTTGTCCAATCAGCCATTATGGATATATTGTTTATCTGGCAATATCATTATGACATTTACAGTACAAACCCCTGAGGTCTTTAATTCATTTACTTAATAATCATTGGTCATGCTCCTATAATTTGTTAGGTCCTTTCTTGGCACTTGAGAAAGAGTTTGGGGCAAGAAAGGCAAGGTTCTTACTCTTACGGGGCTTAAAAGTAGTAGATGTCAGGGCCCTCACCCAGAGTTACTTGCAGGCAGGGACTCTGCAATCTTTGAGTCCACCATTGAGCCAACACCATGCTAGACCCATACTAGGTGCTCCATCTAAACTTTTTGGCTGATTGGATGGTTGATCTACATCCATGTAGGATGCAGTGGATAATCATAGAAGAATGGAGTAATTGGTTACAAAGGTCAATGTAGTAATAATAGAATTATTCTACTAATTATAAAAAGAACTGGAGAATTATACATTGGCTCTAGAAACTATAAAGCCCTTATTCCGCTACACTCTAATATCAACTTCTCTTCAAATGTGTTGGCTTGACTCTCTCTGCATGGCATCAGTGGGAATTGTTTAAGCTATGTTTGGGAAAATGAATCCTTTGAGAATCTTCTGAGAGCAATGGACCCTCTCAAGCATCCAGATGTAATCTCACCCATGCTAATATACTATAAAATATAATTTGTGGAGTACGATAGATACCTAGAATCCTATCAAAGGGTCTCCAAGGACTTTCAGGTTAAGAACTCCCTGGCACAGAGCAAAGTGAGATGGCTTTTTTTTGTGATTACATGTTATTTGGAAATGATTTCAATTCATGTGTGGCAGTGGTTGTCAAGGAGTGTCCCTATGATTCTGATGCATGCTAAAGTTTGAGAACTTCTAGTGGATGCAATTTGAGGGAAAATTTTGTTTTTTGGCCTTCTATTTCATTTTGCTTTCCTCTGTCATACTTAGGTCACCATTCCTCCAAACTCTGGCCAATATGGAAAATTTTAATGCTGGAAGATGCTATTGGTGGACAGGAAATTGGGAGTTCAGGGAAAATGCAGAATAAATAGCAGTGGCTGAATAGTGTGAGTAGGAATTGGCAATCTCTTGACATGAAAGAAGCAGTAGGTCAGTTCTCGGAGATAGCCTAAAGATGTATGGACTCTGATTGACAGAAAGAAGTGGTCAGAGACATTTATGACAATCAGAAGGGCATCTTCCAAATATTATTAAGACACGCAAGTAGTCCTGAGTACAGAAAGGTTTAGAACTTCTGATAAACATGATTATCTTGACAAGGTAATCTAGACAAGCAGGGACACAGAAAGTCGCCTGGTATGGAATTCCAAACAGGCTCAGGTAAAGCTAGTATGAAAAAAGCACCAGTCAGCTTAGAATACTACAGAAGAAATGAAACATATATACATTTTCAAAAGCTGTGTAGAAATGATACCAAAATCTGAAATCCCTACACCCATATGATATGAACTCTACAACTGTGCCTGTCATTATAATCTTTATGTTATTATATTTCTGATTAGGCACAAAGGTCAGGTTTTATATTCCTTCTGTACTGTTCAGGTTCCCCCACTCCAACCTTGTCCATTTCTATGTAGATAGTATTCACATCATTGATTAGTCTGTTGATCAATTTGTACACTTGTTCTGTACTATCACAAAATTACCAGTACTTTTCAAACCTCTGTGGCGTGCTGTTATTTTAAAGATATACTCTACATTCTCCAGATTTCTGTGAAGTGTTTTTGACCCCGATAATTTGCAGGCCATTTTTTTTCATCTATTGAAACATACATATTGTTTAAGTTAACACAATGTGGCCAGACTGAGTTTTTAAGTTAAATACATAACATATTGTTGAAATCAGTCTCTTGATTAAAATGAGACAGGAGTTCAAAATCCTTAAGCAAGGACTACTCTGGACTCCACGAAGTGTTTTCATTACAATTCAAGTGGCTCAAGTGGTTGCAGGTAATATTTCCCTGCTTCTTAGGTAGGCTATGGTGACCTCACTTTTCCATCTGGCTAGTTCTGAGAAAGTAACAATTCCCGAATGTCCCCAGTTCTTTATTTTGGCCATAGCAAAAGGCATAGGGTAAAGTAGAAGCAGACAAATGTGGTCCATGGCAAATGGTGAGAAAGGAATGAAGCAGGTTTGATTCCCCTGTAGCCTGTCTTTACCATTAAATTCCATTAATACCACACCTCTGAATAGATGTGTAATTGAAGTATAGGTGCTTCAATGTACCACCCTTAAGAATGGAGGAAAGAAAGACATTCTTGCTTCTTAACGAAAGATAGTGTTTCTTTGGGTACATTTTGAGTACATTTTATAGGTTTGGAAGATATGGTCATTAATTATTTAGTTCTAGTCTCAATGGAGGGGCAACCTAAGCCGACATGGAAAGTGAGGACTACGTTACTCTTAGAGATTTCCGAGAAAAGTTATTCCATAGACTACTTTTCCTAATTTATTCAAAAATCTCATAAGACATTCATGTCAGGATCTTCTCTGATATTTTGTTTTAAGCTTACTTTCCTGATTCTATTAATAGAATTTTCCTCTATTAATAGAGGAAAACATTGATACCTTACTGAATATCCGATTTGTGTCCTAAGTGCTGTTGGTGTTTTATACACAGCATATCATTTTTACAAGTTTATTAGTCAGGGGGAGTATTTTTATTTCCATTTTGTAGGTAAGGAAATTAAAGACCATGTGGTGAAGTGAATTCTACGAGGTCCCCAAGGTAGCGCATGTTGGAGCTGGGATTTAAATCCAGATCTGTCTGTACTAAAGTTCATATTGTTAACCACAATACTATGTTAGGGCCTGTCACATCCTGCTCCATTCTCTGTAACAACAGCCCTTTCTACTAAGAAAGAGCTAGGGCCATAATTCCCAAGCCATCTCAAATCCACATTAAAAGACCACTACTGATCTACCATACCAGTCTCCCTACTCACTCAGAGTCACCAGCCCATAAGATGGTGAAGTGAAGCTTCTCTTCCTTTATTCACCCATAAGAGAGTGAAGCTTCCTGTTAGGGCAAACTCCTACCATCTGCCTACCATGGAACGTGCCACAAAGAGTTTACCAAATTCCTCACT